GGTGAACGTGAGATGGAGATAAAAACACCTGCAGAGAGGTGGGGAACTTAGATCTACTTATTTCTAGTGGCAGAGCAGGTTGGGAAATGGTTATTTCATTTTAATTATTGATTTGTTCTTTTACATTATACTGGCTCTGAGATGTAAAATAAATTTGAAGTTGAATTTTTGAAAACAATTCATGAGATTTCCCTGTGTGTCCATACACCTGCAAAACGGAGGAAAATCCATACAATTTGCGGACAATCTGCACAACTTGACAAGTTTGTCTCAGTATCATGTTATAGTTTTCAACATAAAATTGTGCGGTTATTTGGAAGCACAAATAGCAACAGTGCAGCAAACTGTGACACTTCCTGTGCAACCTGGGCCACTTTCTGCCAGAATAAATGTGAAAGGAGCAAGGTTAAGGTTAATAAAATACGGCTTTCATAAACTACGATAAAATCTTTTTTCAGATTAAAGTTGTTTTAGGACAGCMCTTTAGTCTTGGCTCTACTCATACTTGCTGTTAACTTGTTGGTTTGGTCAGAAATAAATTATTTATTCAAACAAAAGTAATTCAAAAAGCTATCTACAACAGGTAGGATATTAATCGATCATAATCTTTCCACAGATCATCACTTCAAATGATCTGAACTCGCTCTTTAACGTTTAAAAAATATATTTTTAAAAATATGATCCACACTGAGTTATTCAAAAAACTCCTGGTGCCTTAACTTTACATTAGTTTGTTCCRTGAATATTAGTTTTTATTATCAGTAATGTGACTCCAAACACCATGTTACTTTATGAACAGTGAGCATTTTAAAATAGTGGCATTTTTGTTTTTTATTGTTTCTCATTAATAGTAGAAAAGACCCAAAAGCCTCATGTGTAGTATGATTTTTGTAAATTTTTTTTTCTGGCAGGTTGTTAATGAGCAAAAATAAATAATTTAATAAATACAATCACAAATTTAATCAGCGAAGAGGCAGGAGCTTGATCCCAGCTCGCTGAGATGTAATAAGTGTTTCACAAAATCTCACTGTCAGGTTTTAGAGCAGCTGCTGCAATAAAATTAACAAAAAGTGTTTGTTAAAATGGGAAAAATCAGTGGCACATACACATTAATGAAACTGAATGATTTGTAAAGGCAAAACAGACCATATTTGCTGTGCACAACTAATATTTATAAACCAAAAATGAGAAAATTTCTTGTGACAATTAGAAAATGTACTTAAAAACAGCAGCTGCTGCTGTTTTGAAATGTCTTAGGATGAAAACATTTGGGGGAAACATTTGGGAAAACAGGTGAATTGAAGCAAAAATCAGTTTATAAAAAAATTTCGACGTCATAAAAAGGAAAAAAGACATTTCACACTAAATCTTTACCTTTCATTTGTTCTTCATTATCCACAAGTTTCTGTAAAAGTGTATGTAGGCTGCCATGATAGACCKCTAACCCCGCCCCCAGATGCAAACTTCCAGCTTGCGAGAACCAGAGATTAATTCAGAGTTATGATAGCAACAAAACCAGTTCAATCACGAGTTCGGTTCAACTTGTGTTTTTGTCGACTGCCACAACAATTGAAGAAAACTGAGAAACGTCATCGCTCTAAGAGCTCTATCTGGCCTAGATAGAGCTCTATCTAGGCCAGATAGAGCTCTATCTAGCCAAAATAATCAGTATGCTCTGATAGCCAAAATATGCTATCAGAGCGTACTGGCCACCAAAGGGGGCTCGTCCGGACCACTGTGAGCCACACAGCTTCCAGCAACAAGTGACTAAGTRCAAATACTTTGTTACTGTACTTAAGTAGAATGTTCGAGTATCTTTACTTTACTTGAGTAATTATTTTTCAGCCTACTTCTTACTTTTACTTCTTATATTTTCACACAATTATCTGTACTTCCTACTCCTTACATTTTCTAAAAAGGCAAGAAGTAGAAAGTTGTTACTTTTATTTTGTTTTTGCTTGTTTTCATTCCAGCTTGTTGTTATAAAAATAAATACTATCCATATTAATTGTGCCTCCTAGATAGAGAGAATTTAACTGTGGTTGAATGAGAAGTATAAATATATAAAATTCTGATAGCGTATTAGTTTGTACACGAACGAATCATGTCACACTC